TCATCATCATCATCATCATCATCATCATCATCATCATCATCATCATCAGATTCATCATCAGTAGCATCATCATCCTCAGAATTATCAGCAGCATCATCATCCCCCCGCGGCGTCGCGCATTGTACACCCTCGGCAGAGGTTGCTTTGTGGAGCTCGTTCGCGGATCTCTGAGTCCGGAGTCCGCCTCCTCCCCCGTCCCCTCGTCCTCCCTCCCTCCACTCGTCCTCCCCCCTCCCTCTTCCTGAGTTCCTCCTCCCTCCCCCCTCCCCTCTCCTTTCCTCTCCCCACCTGCACCCCTCGTACTCCTTCTCTCCCCGTCCCTCCCCCCCCCTCCTCCTGCAGAAGCCGTCCGCTCTCCCGGCCTCTGCCCCCGTCGGGCCTGGCAGGCGCGACGACACCGCCGCCAGGCACCACGCAGGCGCTGGGCACTGACGGGGCGGAAGGCGCGGAGAAGAGGGCGAGGGGAAGCCGAAGGGCGACGAGCGAGGGCGAGCCTGCGAGCCCACTCCTCCTCCTCCTCCTCCTCCTCCTCCTCCTCCTCCTCCTCCTCCTCCTCCTCCTCCTCCTCCTCCTCCTCCTCCTCCTCCCTCCTCCTCCTCCTCCTCCTCTCGTCCTCCTCCTCCTCCTCCCGTCCTCCTCCACTTCCTCCTCCTCCTCCTCCCCTCCTCCTCCTCCTCCTCCTCATCCTCCTCCTCCTCCTCCTCCTCCTCCTCCTCCGCCTCCGCCTCCTCCTCCTCCTCCTCCTTCATCCTCCTCCTCCTTCTCTCTCCTCCGCCTCTTCTTCCTCCTCCTCCGCCTCCTTCTCCTCCTCCTCCTCCTCCTCCTCCTCCTCCTCCTCCTCTCCTCCTCCTCCTCCTCCTCCTCCTCCTCCTCCTCCTCCTCCTCCTCCTCTCCTCCTCCTCCTCCTCCTCCTCCTCCTCCTCCTCCTCCTCCTCCTCCTCCTCCTCCTCCTCCTCCTCCTCCTCCTCCTCCTCCCTCCTCTCCTCCCTCCCTCCCTCCCTCCCTCCCTCCTCCCTCCCTCCCTCCCTCCCTCCCTCCCTCCCTCCCTCCCTCCCGGACCGCGTGTCCGCGCCGACACCGCCGCGCCCGCGCGCGGGCCCGCGCGCCGCGCGCCTGGCGGGGGCTGCTGCCGGCGCCCTGGCGGCCGCCGCCGCCGTCCGCGCGGGACGTGGCCGAGTCGCCGGCCGACTCGGCCAAACCCGCGCTCGGGCGGGAACGCCCCGCGCCGCCGCGCGCCCGGGCCGCTGCCGGCGCCCCGGCGTCCGCCGCCGCCGCCCGCGCGGGAAATGGCTGAGTCGCCGCCCGACTCGGCCAACCCGCGCTCGGGCGGGAGCCGCCCGCGCTCGGGGCCGTCCGGGCCGCCAGGGACGCCGCTCGCCCGGTGCCGCTCGCAGATGGCGACCCCCAGCGCTGATGCCGCGCCCCCGGGGTGGCGCCAACCCCCCAGGCGCGAGCCGCCCTCAGAGGCTCCGCGCCCAAGCACCGGTCAGCCCCCCCCCTTCTCACCAAGCAGCCCCAGCGCATAGTACCGTCTGCGCCTGGGCGCGCTGGAGTGCCATGGCGACGCGCCTGTAGGCGCGGCGCATCGCCACGGCACGTTGGTCTGGCGGGAGACCGCTGTGGAGCGCGCGCAGGAGGGCCACGCCAGCAGGCCCCATCCTCCCGCCGCTCTCGAGCGCCAGCGGCACCAGCTCAGGGTGGGGGTAGCGACGGCGCTTCTCGCGCTCGAGCGCGGCCGCCAATCCGCCATCCCGGTCTGCAGCCGCGCGGGCGTTGGAGCCGCGGCCCTGCGGGTGGCCGACCGTCACGTCGGCGTGTCGCGTGCGGCCCCCGGGCAAGGCGAAACTGAGGTCCAACCTTGCCTCTCGCCGTCCTGCGCCCACTCGGGCACCAGCTGCTCCTCCTGCGGCGGCGCCCCGAGCGCGTCCTCCAGTACGGCGCTGAAAGCGCGCAGCACTCGCGCGTGCCTCCGCGTGTGCCAGGGCCCCCGCGCGCAACAGAGGGCATGGACTGCCTGGCGGTTGTGCTGCGCCTCGGCGTCGGGGACTCCGGCACGTGCGCAGGCGCTGCACGCGGCAGGCATGTTCAGCGGCAGGCCGAGGCGGACGTGAACAGCAGCGGCGAACTCGTCGTCTGGCATCCATTCCTCGTCCTCGTCAGCCGGCAGCAGCCACGTATCCGCACCAGGGCCTCCGCCCGAGCGGAGGAGCGCCCGGTCTTCACGCGGGAGTTCCTGAAGCAGCAGGTGGGCCTGGGGCTGCGTGAGTCCGTAGCGCACGTCGTCCTGCACCACCAGCCCTGCTCGCTCCAGCATCGCCGTCGCCGCGTCCATTCTGGCCGCCAGCCGCGGTGCCCTCGTTCCGAGCTCCTCCAACGTGCTCGCATTGACAGCCTTCGCCACGGCTGGCAGTGCGTCCACAGCGCTAGCCAGGAGCGCCGCCGGCGCGGTCCGCTTCGCGCCCGGGAGCCCCAAGCCACCCTCACGCAACGGTAAGCGTGACCAGCGAAGGCGGGAGGGGTCTAGAGAAGCAAAGCCGCACAGGGCGGCCGTCGCAGCGGCCACTGGGGCGTCCAGCTGCGCCAGGGTGTGCTCTTCGGCCTGCAACGTGCGCATGTGGAAGTTCACATCTGCCGGCACGACCGTGCGGAGGAGGCAGATGGCCTGGTGCCTGCCCAGACCTGCCGGAGCCCGCTGTTGGAGGCGGTCGCAGGCGCGTCGGCGCCGGTCCAGTAGCCTCTGCCATACCTGGCCTGCCGCCTCCGTCATGCCCGGGGCGCCCACGTCGAGGGGCACGCGGAAGACCTCCGGCTGCCGGACTCTTGCCACTGGGAGCCGCGCCCGCGTAAGCGTCGTCTCGAATGCCGGCTCTGGCGCACCCTCGGGCTTCCAATATGTGGTCTTCGACGCGTTCAGCCGGAGTCCGGCCTCGGCGAAAGCCGGCGTCGCCGCTCTCATCGTGTCCGGGAAAACGGCTGGGCGCGCCGCCACATCGACGTCGTCCATGTAGGCGGTGAGCTGCCTAGGGACGCCGCCCGCCTGCAAAGTACCGTCTAGCGCGCGTACCGGAGCGTCAATCCCCAGCGCGAAGACCAAGGCCGAGAGCGCACCGCCCTGGGACCCCGCATCTGACCTGCACCGGGACGTGAGCGCCGTCATCCGTCACCAGCAGGTGCTCCGAGTCGGCGGCCAACAGGCGGCGCACGACTGGCGCCCACGCGGGCACCGTCGTGTCGAGGGCGCTCCCCAAGTAGTGCCTGTCCAGCTCGTTGAAGGCGTTGGAAAGGTCAAGGCTGAGCAAGCCCCAGTCCGGATTGGCCTGCAAGGCAGCCGCCGTCAAGTGAAGCACAGTCTCTGCCCCGCCCGGCGTGCCTACCCCATGCTGGAAGGGTGCCGTGTGCGCCCGGATCGTAGGTCCGAGGAGGTTCGCCAGAGCCAGCCTTCTGCAGCAGGGCCAGCAAGTTGTTTTGGACTACCACAGCCCGCACCCCGCCTCCAGTCTTCTGCAGCGGGATCAACCGCCCACGCGCCAAGGCTCGCTGTGTTCCGTGGGGCGCCCTTCGGCCAGGAGGATCGCCAGGGCACAGACCTTGTCCGCCCCTCCAGCGACCTCCAAGAGGGCCCTCCAGTGCTCGTAGCGTGAGCCACCGAGGCAGGCCGCCACCCGGCGAGGCGTGTGGGCGAGGGCCTTGGCCACTGCTCCTTTCAAGGCGCCCGCCAACCTTCCGGCAGCTGCTCAGGAGCAGGGGCGGGTAGTGCTGGATGTCCCTCTGTCGGGAAGAGAGCTTGGACCCTCCTCGGTAAGTCCTGGCCGTGCGCCAACGGCTCCGCTTGGAGGACCCTGGCGGACGCCCGTTTGAGCTCCCCAGCCTCCATGAGCAGTCGGATCCGGTTGGCCGTCTTCTCAAGGTCCTCCGCCATGCCGACTGGGTCCCCTCCATCCGCTGAAGGCCTGCGTAGCCATTCGTCGTGAAGGGTCCCCCAAGCCCCTTGCCTCGCCAAGTCGATCCTCTCCGCGAGGGTCTGTCGGCGGAGCCGTGCCTTCTTCTTGCCGCCGTCACGCAACTCCGGCTTCCACAGAACAAAACCGTCGAATGCAATGAGGGCTTTCCAGGCCCGCTCCATCTTCCCCTCGTCCCCGCCTGCAGTCGCATCCAGAATGTCCGTAACCAGGGCGGCCTTCACCGAGGCGAACGAATGCAGCATCGGCCTGGGGATCTCCGAAAGGGTGGACACTGGCACCGTCAACTCCGCCCACGGAACTTTGTCGAAATAAGCTGTGCCCTGGGCCGTCCCTGCGTCCACCTCCATGCCAGGGTTGTGCTCTCCCTGCTCTCCCTGCCCTGGCTACTCCCCGCCCTCTCGGCCAAAGGCCTCCCTCATCTGCTGCTGAAGGTCTCCCAACTGCACGCAGGATGTCTGCACAAAGAGTTCACGTGCCTCAGCCGAGCTCTGGAATTGCAGGCGGGCTGGAGGCGGAGATCGCCCACGGCAATGCGTTGCTCGCAATGCTCACACAAGATATGCCGTCCGCTGCCCTGCACGCTTACCTTCCACCCGGACAGCCGCTCGTTTTGCCACGGCGGCATGCCCTCGTCTGCGCCACCAGCCTTCTTTTTCGGCAGCCCCCACGCCCAGGCGGCCCCCGCGACGCTCAGGCGGAGGGCCGCGCCGCCATCGCCGCCGGGGAGTTGGGGGAGGAGGGTGCGGGGAGGGACAGGTGAGGAGGGAGGCGGCCGGGCAACGGCTTGAGCCTCCCTTGAGCCTCCCTCCCTCCCTCCCTCCCTCCCTCCCTCCCTCCCCTCCTCCCTCCTCCCTCCTCCCTCCTCCCTCCTCCCTCCTGCCTCCTGCCTCCTTCCC